CTTTGCAAGGCTATCTTTCTGAGATGACAGTGACCACTGAACTGAGACCCCCACAGAGCAACTGAGAATTTCTGCCATCAGTTTTAAACTGTAAACAGAGCGTACAGCAATGTCATGTTGAAGAAGGTGTTGGCATCCTAAAAGGAAGAACATCTTGGGTTTGAGAAAACACACAACTTGGAATTTGTATTTCGGTAAGTGTTGATAACTGCCTATAGGGAACATCAGCACTGTATAACGGCATAGGAAATGCTGACAATTCTAGCAAGTCACATGAGCCTTGTTGCTCTTGTTGGATTAAGTCACCAACTTAAATGAATCTGACAACCTGGCTTTCTGTGAAGATCGTAAGTATTTTGGAGGAACTCCTGTAGTCTGGTCTGACGGCCTTAAGTTGTATCCTGCATCCTCACAGACTTCCCATTCCTATTCTTTTCATTTGGCCTCGAACAAGTATTTCGGATGACTCCAAGGGACATTTTTGACTTGCATTCTTTTCCTTCCCTTGTCAGGCTGGCGTTAGTTGTTCCTCCTGGTGGTGGTGTACAAACTAGCAGATTTTTTTACTCAGACCTCTTTTTAGTATTTCTGGAGGCATAAATGCACCTTGCGTTTCAAAGAAAATACAATCAGGGAAAAATTTTGCCATCACCTGGCGTTATTAACTGGTCGTTCTCCAGCTTGGTGTGTGGTCAGAAGTCTAAGAATTCCTTAGCAATTGACTGGGACTGCTGGATATCTGTGTTTGCCAGGGAAAATGTGTAAGGAAGCAATCTGTAATTTTTCCAGGCCCAGCAGCAGAGATCCTAAGTGAAACATTTTGGAGTCAACAACATCTTGTTCTGTCAATCTGAACCGCCTCAATTTTCACTTCCTCCTTCTCAAGTCAGCAAGCATCCTCAGTGAGCCACGTGATGGGGACCCTTGGCATAACAATTTGGAAGGCAGTATCCCACACCTGATTACGCTCAAGGAGCCTGGACTTTCCAACAAGTCTCCAGACTCATTTCTTTACCATGGCCATTACTAACATCTGATCCAAACAGGACACACAGCATTCCCGTAGTTGAGCTCTCCGTCTGGTTTTGAATATGAAGATGATGCTAACCACAAGGGGGCACTTGGCATTTAAACAAGTACAGTGCTCTTTTCTTTATCTGTAGTGAAGCCTTTACAGTAGCTAGTGCATATTGTATGTAGAAATATGCTATGCTAAATAATTCTTTTTGTATCATTTTGCCAGTAATTACTACAATATATGGTTAATAAGTTTATCAATATCAACTAGAAAACAAATTCAGTTTCAATAAAAGATGCAGAATTGCTTTTTTGCTCTTTGTGAGTTTAAAATAATATATTAAAAGATTCAGTTAAATCAGCTGATAAACATCAGCTGCTAGTCTTGGAGGGAGAGGAGTTTATTTTCTAAACAAAACTGCATTTGATTTAAAATGTCAAGTGGAGCGGATTGCAAAGGCTTCTTGTT